TATTTTAAAACTTATTAGGGTTTAATATTAACGCCTATACTTTAAGAGTTCTATTAAGTTTCTTAAAATTTATAATTTTGCACTTTAGTTAGATGAAGCCTTAATTAACTCACTTAGTATAATCAGGTTCAATAATTTGTTGATTGATTGCGAAATTCAATTTAAAAAAATAAGGCAATGTTCATTTATTTAAGGAGTATCCTCCGCTTATGCATTGGATGACCGTTATTATTTCCCAAATAAATCAACATCTTTTTAAATTTGTGAATCATGATTTCAACATTATTAAGGCAATGCTTAATTTATTAGGATTGATTATAAAATCTCCACTAATGCTCGAAGGGTTTTTTTTTGTTAATTTCTAAATAAATTAATATCCTTTTCAAATTGGCATACATAGCGGGTCATGAATAAATATAACATTGAACTCGTAATTTCCAATTTTAAAATAATGGGTAATCGACTAGGTACCAATTTTGGTTAGGGATGGCAAACGGGTACAGTTTCGTGGATTCCGCACCGCATCCGCTCCAATTGGAGCGAGGATGGGTATAATTTTAGCGGGTAGTGGGCGGGTGTGGATTTATAAAGTGGTACCCGTCGTGGGTGGTGGGCGGGTAATGGGTTTGAGACATTACCCACCCCGCATCCGCCCGCCCCGCATCCGCCCGCCCCACATCCGCCCGCCCAGCTAAATATCTATTAAATTTTGGATCATTATGAATTTAGGTGTAGTTTTAGAGACTAATTTATAAATTTTAATATTATATATTATATAATATATAACATATAATTTAACTAAATATTAAGGATATTTAGTCTTTAATCTGGTATTTAATTAGGAAAATATTCGGCTCTTTGATTAAACCCATAATCTCACTAACCACGTCACTTTCCATGTTCTTTAGCCCATGCTGCCCATCCAAACACAAATTAGCCGTACTATAAGCATTAACATCAAAAGCAGTAGTTTCCATGTTCTTTAGCCCCTCAAAACCCATATTAGGCGCACTATGAGCATTAACATCGAAAGCAATACAACAATCCAGCTCTGCGACTACATGCTCCCTACAATATGTCTCCATAACATTCGTAGAGCCACTCATCTGACAAATTAAAGCATGCGTTGCTACCCCATCACGAACTGTCTGCGAACCAACTCCAACATCTCATTAGTTTGTTGTCAGACGGGTCTAGATGGGTATGTCGCTAGTGGGTAGTGGGTGTGGGGATGGATTTGAAAATGTACCCGCGTGGGCGGGTGTGGATTTAAAAATTTGTACTCATCATGGGTGGTGGACGGGTGGTGGATTGAAAAATAGTAGGTGGATATGGGGATGGGGGAAGGGGTATCCGCACCCGACCCGCCCGTTTGCCATCCCTAATTTTGGTCATTACGGGTACTAGTCTTTTCTCTTATGTAATTGACTCTCGAACCTATTTTACGATTTCACATACCAAAATCGGTATTCTAGTAAAATTATTTTTTATTAAAATTACTTAATTTTATGCGGTACAATCCCACTTAGAAAATGATTTGTGAAGACTTCCATTTTTACAACATTTCAAAACCCGTCGTCGGCCTGAAAAAATGTTATGACATGAGTTGAAAAAGAAGAAGAGGTAAGGACCGGTCAAAATATACTCATGTGGTCAAATGATGCTAAAAAAACAAAACAACGTGTCAAATTAGCATTTTGTTACTCTAGTAACGGTTGTTAACATCAAATGATAAATTTATTATAAATTGATAACGTTAGTGACCAAATTATTACTTTTGAAACATAAGTAGTATAAAGAGTAACTTACTCAAATATTAATAACTATTTATATACTTTACCGTTTATTATTTTACGATCTCTTCCTGTTGAAGCTAGGAAAATCAGAAAAAATCATGATAATAATATTTTTTAAATTTGGTATCTAATATTATAGTGGTTTTATTCTATGATTTTAATCAAAATTAATTTTTATTTAATATTAAATATAGTAAAAATTTAAATATATATAATATTAAATAACTTTTGTTTAATATTATATTTAAAAATATAATACTGTCAACAATAAAAATAGTGGACTAAATTATAAAAAAATTAAAAATAAAATTAGAACTCGTTTCGGTTTAAATATTTTTAGAGACTAAAGTAAATAAAAATGTTGTAATATTAAAAATATTATAATGAGTTATAAAATTTTGAAACAAATAGGAGTTAATTTTAAATTAAAAAGTGTTTATAGACTAAACTGAATAAAAATAAAAAGTGAGAAATTTAACATGTCATTTACCCTTGTAAAGGAGGCCGTCAGATGTGTCATGAAACACGATCTTATTAGCCAAAGATTTTTTTAAATGATTTTAGTTGATAGATAAAAAATACCTTTATAAATACCTTTAAAACACACCTTTAAGTCAAATATAATCATAACAAAATTATTTTTTGCTCACATTTAGTTGATAGATAAAATTATATTTCACAGATACAATCATTAATCTTAAAATAAACTTAAAATTTTATAAAAAATATAATCTATTAAGTACACAAAAAGTTTAATAATTATACTAAAATTTAAAAATATTATTACTACAATCAATATAATAACTGTATAAAATATTTATCAAAAATTAAATATTAATTAAAATACTTAAGTCCTATCAATATAATAATTCATTAAATTAAAATAGTAATTAAATAAAAGAATTATAAAATTAAATAATATAAAAGCATACTAAAAATACTAACAATTTTCAACTCCAAATTTTCTCAAAAGTTCATTTAAATTTAAGGAAAAACTACCCTTTAAACTTTGTCCGTTAACTTGTTTATATCATTGAATTTTTAATATTGTCAATTATAATATTAAATTTTAGTTTTACATTCAATTAGACTAACTCTAGTACATATCTAAAGTAGATAAAATCTCCACTTTGGAGATGAATTTCCACTCCAACTCATCTCTAGAGTAGAGTATGGAATGTAGAGATGCTATAGTGATACTCTACATCTGGCGCAACACTGTAGTTGCACTACATAATATTTTTTTTTTATTTTTCTGATTTTTTGTTTTTGTTTTTTTTTTACTTTCTTTTGTTATTTTCTTTTTCTTTTCCTTTTCTTTGTTACATTATTTTCTCTTATTCTATCTTTTATGTTTTTTATTGTAATTTCTACACAGTAAAATAAAAATTAAACATAATATAATAAATTCAAGTAGATTAAATTACAAGATAGAAAAAATACATTGAAATTAGATAAATAAACATACTAATAGTTAAATATTGTGAATAAAGTAGAGTAGGTGGTAATGTAGAGATAGTGTTGGAGATGAATTATTGTTTCATCTTTAGAGTAGAGATAGAGATGTTGTAGAGTGGAGATGAGGGCTCAAGATGGCCTTATACTACTATGTTGTTATCAGTAATGAGATGATAACATGGCTAACGATTGCTAATGAAGTCTGCTACACCAAAACGATGTCATTTTATACAATAAATTTTATGAGTGCATCGATTTTGCCACAAAACTTTTAAATATTTTTCTTCTTTAGCACTCCATTTTTCGACCGTCGCTCACAGCCAAGCATCACCCGTCATCAATCATATTTCATGTCAAGATTGGTATCAAAACATTTGTATTTCAATCCTCTTTCTTCTTCTAGGATTGATTTTTCATGAAACACACTCAAACTTTACCGTTCTATGAGGCAAGATCAATATCAAAATGGTTTGACTTGTTAATACTCTGATATTTTTCAATGACCGTCTGATGAGGCTGGTTTTGAGGTATGTTGTTTGTTTTCTCGAAATAATGCTCTTTACCATTCAGACTTTGAACAAACAACTCAAATCTCATAAATCTAAGAAAGATTCTAAACATATAAAATATGGTAGATTTTTTTGTTTAATTTTGTCGATTTTGAGTGGTTTCCTAAAAAAAACAAATCATGTGAGAAGAATGAGTGAAATGCAAATATTTTGATACTAATTTTGATGCAAAAGACAATCGATCACAGGCAGTGAGTGATTAACTCGGAAAGTGTGATACCAAAAAAGTAATATATTTAAAAGTACAGTGGCGAAATCAATATATCCCTAGAGTTCAATTTCTAAAACGATGTCGTTTTAGGTATTAGAACAACTGCACTAAGACGACGCCATTTTGGTGTGGCATGCTATGTTAGTAATCGTTAGTCAATTCTCATTAGTGACTTAACAACAAAGTGACATAGTTGAATGTAAAACTAAACTTAAGTGTTATAATTAATAAAATTGAAAGTTCAGTGTTATAAGCGAATCAACAATCAAAGTTTAATAATCTTTACAATAATTTTCTCTAAATTTAAAATCTTAAAAGATCATATTTGATCAACGATCTTTAATGTGAATCAAAATATTTATTAACTGGATTATCATCCTAAATAAAAACGTTCTTTTATACATCTTTAGGAAACGCTCGACAGAACACCACTGTTACCTCCTCATGTAATAAAAATGTGTGTACACTTTCGCTAAGAAAGTTCATGAATAGGAATCCATCTCATAACTTCAGTAGTTAAACAGAAGTGTTTGTTTTCTAAGAAGTCCTAAATTCGAGTAATTGCATATGTATGTAAGGTGTGTATATATTATCAATGATTAATAAAGATTCTGAACAAATACCACCTTATAATCACTCTAAACTATTAAAAAAATTATGAACATATATTATTTTATAATCACCGTAAATTATTAAAAAAATCGTAGAAATGATTATATAAATAGTTTATAAAACCGACTTATTTGAATAATAAAGCCACCTCATGCACCAGAGCTACTATTTGAAGTAAACAAAATTTTGAAACGTTTGCAAACTAACAAGCATATGATCCATTCACCATTACCAACCAAAAATAGCAAATGGCCACACAATTATCAAATAAGAAAGATAAAAAATCCAAATAACATAACATATGACCATGGATGACACTGCATAACATACCAAGGGATCATGTCATTGGTCAGATGAACAAATAAATAATTGAAAAAATACATCTATTAGGCATTGATATATAGCCTGCAAAAACACTTATTGGATAGACTATCATAGAGAAAATCAACTCTTCCCTAAAGCATATTTAGTTCTAGGATTCACAATACAAATTCAATATCTGGAATCATAATAATAATACTGCAACAAGAATTAATGGCTTTGTAGTTTAAAAGATACTAGAAAATACCACTGAACCATGTCCAGTTTTCAATTAACTCGCATTTGATTTCTTTTCTTTCATGCACTCTTCCATCTCTTTCAGCCAAAGATCAGCAAACTCACAATTCTTCCATGCCTCAAACCATGGTCCTCCGCGAGTATAATGTATGGCTTTCGGAAACGTTTTGGGGTCATTCTCATCAACCTTGTTATGCCCCTCCAGGAAATTCCAAACAAACAAGACTGACCCGATTTCGTCGTCTTCAAGCCACTGGAACCTGTGAAGAAAAGCGCCGGTTTGGTTGTTCACAACCTCTGGTGTCAACCCTTTGTTCTTTGGATGACCACAATTATATAGCACCATAGAAGACCAATTCTTCCTGGGATAAACAGTCTGCACAGCACCATCCATTTTTGTTTTCTCTTTCGGGGAATAATCATGATGAACACACATGACCGCATATTTGTCATCAACCAAATCCTTTAACTCCTTGATATCAGCTAAGTAAAGGAAATCACAGTCAACAAACATTGCCCAGCCTTCATAATTAGCCAAGTAGGGTGTTAGGAACCGCGAAAAGGAGAACTCGGTGCTCTCGAACTGATCCCTTTTACGCCAATAAAGGCCTTTCTGCCTAAGATCTGATTGAACAAGAGGTAAGATCTCAACAGGAATGGAAGTGCGTTTCAGAATAGAATGGCGACAGACCTCATATGCTACATCTTCACGCGGATCATAACCAATGAAGATCTTGAAGGGTTTGCTTGCATCGCCATTGTTGACCACCTGTGGAGCATTACCATTAGCCGTAGCCATAGATGCAGCAGGTTCAACAACAAAGATCTGCACAATTTTCAAAATCTTTAATCAAACTGCAGTTAATACAGTAATTCCCCTAAACTCGTATACTAAACAATTTCAAGCAAGGAAAATTTCAAGAATTGCTCTTTCATTTAAAAGAACACCAAACGCGTAAATCTAAAGTACAAATAAGGAAAACCCAAAAAATAAGAGATTCAAATGCAATCAATCCAGTGTTTCCATTCAATTAAACAACCAAAAACAAATAAAAACATAGAAGAGTTGAAATTAAGTAGAAATGTCCATATAATCGAAGAAAATGTGATACGATGAGCAAGAAAACCATCAGATCAGTAACACTAAAAAAGAAAAAGGAGAGAGATTGACCTGAAAAGAGAAAAGGGAACGCGGATATCGAAAGTTCTTGGCAATGAAGAGAGAATGAGAAAAGCTTCAAAAGAAGATGGATTTACTTGGTGTTTGATTCAGGGAAGAATTTAAAGAAATAGGAATTCAAAGAAAATCATAAAAATTGGAAATCCACCGCGGATTTTTGTGTTTTTGGGTGTCGGTGCGAGGATTTAGCGTTGAAACGAGTTTTTGGTGGTTTTATATATAGGAAGAGGGCAGGAAACCACCCAAGCAAAATTCAATTATTTGCCATAGAAATCGACTATTTTAGTTTTGTTTTTTGTTTTTTAATTTTAGGGTAAAATATACAAATAGTCTTCTGACTATAGGATACTGCTTTATTGAGTTCCTTGATTATTTAAAGTTACAAAATAGTCTCCGATTATAGAGAGTTGTTGATTGAGATATGATAAAATATGATCTCAAAATCTCAAATGATTATTACATCTCAATTAGTAGTTTGACATCCAGCTCAGACTTTCATTAATTTTTTAATAAAAAAATGACAAGTTTGAAACATAATGAATAGTCAGATGACCATTTTGTAATTTTTAATAGTCAATGTACTCAACAAAACAATTCATATAGTGAAAAGACTATTTTGTAACTTTAATAGTCAATGGATTCAATAAATCAATTGAGATCATTATTTGTGTATTTTACCCTTATTTTTGGCAAAAATTACAAGTAAAATTATTTATGTTTTTCTTTACTTCGAAGATTGAAGCATGCTTTTCAAAATTAACATTTTTCTTACCTCTCCAACAAAATTAACATTTTACATATTAAACAAATTCTCTTTAACTAAATTTATCATATTGATAAAAAAAATTTTGGATAAACTACACCTTTAATATCTAAACTATTATTTTTATTTCATTTTGGTACCTAAACTTTATTTTTTTTAAATCATGTTTAATGTTTAGTTTGGTGATGTTGACGTATCTATAAGAAAATGACACGTCATCATTGAAAAAATGTTACATCAGTAATTCTATTATTTTTTAACGGCATGATACCAAATTGAAACTTAAGCTAAAAGCTAAGTATGATTTTGAAAAAAAAAGTTTAAATACCAAAATAAAATAAAATTAATAGTTTAGGTACTAAACATCTATTTTATCCTAAAGATTCCCAGAATTAACAAAATAAAATTTTAAAGACAAATGAGTTTAGCGTATGATGATGATTGATGTGTTTAAGTACTAAATTGATTAATTTTTTAATATAAAAGATTAAATTTATCAAATTGTTTTAAATTGAGATTAAATTAATATAATATATAAATTTTAATAATTAAAATTATTATTACACCAAATTACATCATTATTTTCATAAAATGATCAAAATTATTTTAATGATTATTGTTCAAAATAAAATGAGAGTATAATATTAGTGACCTAATTGTTAAATTATTTATTTAACATTCTAATTAAAATTAATTATAAAATTTAATAACTGAAGAGAATTTACCCTTACTTTATTTTTATTTTATATTGTGAAGAAAAACCAACGAATTATTTTGACAGTGGACTTAACATTGTTGCGCCCAAGGATTTGCGAGTTCCACAGAATTTTGTTGCTAGCCAAACCGTAGCTGTACGAGTATCCTCTCTTTTATTTTTAGGGTAAATTATCTATTTGGTACTCCTATTACTTAGTTTCTTTTTTCATTTAATCATTATTTTTTAAAAATATCATACCAAATGTTTATGTTTTGGTAACTCACCGTTAAAAAATTAATAGTGATGTTGATGTGATATTTATTTAATTATTTTCCATATTGATGCAGTATTATTTTATAGTGACACTTTAACATCGTCGTTATTTTTTAACGAGCATGATCAAAACAAGGTGGATGCACTTAGCCCCTAGGGTGCCAAGTTCATTCCCATTATTTTTGAAATATGGTTAAATTTAGCTTAATGTGTTAAGGAAAAAATAAAAAAAATAAAAAAAAATTGCATACCATTATTTTTAAGAAAAGAATATTAAAATTTTGGACCCCTATTCTTAAATTTCTAGATCTGCCACTGGATCAAAATATAATTAATATATAATATTAGGTATGATTTTGAAAAAGGTAATAATGAAAGGATCAAAACAAAATTTAAGTAATAGGTGGATGATCAAATAAGTAGTTTACCCTTATTTTATTTTGTGAAGAAAACTTTAGCTGTCCTTTTGTTATTTCCATTTATAGGTCAGGACAGAGTTAGGTCAAATGTTCAGCATAAGTGTGTATAGCAGGGATGATCGAAGGAGACTCAACTAGATATATTTTAAATTAGTATATATTTTAAATATTTTTTTATATTTTTAATTAATAATTTATTTTTGTATTTTAAAATTTTATGAGTTTATTTCTCTTAAAATTTTAGAAGTCGGCCCTCTTAATGTAATATCTTGTATTCATCATTATATATATATATATATATATATATTAGGGGTGAATGCACGCTCCCTACGGGATCAAATGTATCTCCATTATCTTGAAAAAATGGTTAAATGTAGTTTAATGTGTTAAGGAAAAAAATTGTATATTCATTATTTTTAAGAAAAGAATATTAAAATTTTGGATCTCATTATTAAATTTATAGATCTTCCACTAATATCAATATATATATATATATATACTTGATTATTTAATTAAATTTGATATTTCATTATTTTAAAAATATATATAAACGTTTAATTAAATTTGGTATTTTATATTTTTAGGAAAAAGAAAACAAGAACTGTGATTAAAGAAAATAGTAACATAATTAGTAACTGAGCCTAAAATTTTGAGCAACATTTAATTTTATTAATTTTAAAATTAATATAAACTAAAAATATAATTTAATTAAAAATTTTGGAAATAATTTAATTTTATTGATTTTTGAAATTAGGACATAAAATATAATTTATTCACAAAAATTATGGGAGATAAGAACATTGATTTCGAAAGGAATAATATAAAAATTTTCTAAACTATACCTTTTTTTCTCATTTTGGTGCCTAAATATTTTCAGTTAATTTAGATATCAAACATTATAAAAGTTATCATTTTAGGTATCTCAACTGTAACAGACGTTAAAAAAGTCCGTTAAATGACATATATCACATTCATTTTGAGAATCTGTGTACTTTACCCTATTTTGGGTAAAGTACACAATGATCTCCTGACTATAGTATATTACTTTGTTGTGTCTCATGACTATTAAAAGTTATGAAATAGTCCCACAAGTATATGAAGTTTCTTTATTGAGTCGCTTGAGTATTGAAAGTTACAAAATGATCACTCTATTATTCATTATGTTTCAAACTCGTTATTTTTTGTTAAAAATTAACAGTAGTTGTTTGCGTTGGACGTTAACTTGCTGATTGAGATATGATAAAATCAAATATCATAATCTCAAACGACTATCGTATATGAGGCATCATGTTGACGTCCAATTCAAACGACCGTTAATTTTTTAATAGAAAAGGATGAGTTTGGAAAATAATGAATTGTTGGGTGATAATTTTGTAACTTTTATTAGTCGAGGGACTCAACAAAGTAACTCCCTATAGTCAGGGGATCATTTTGTAACTTTTAATAGTTGAAGGACTCAACAAAGTAGCATCCTATAGTCGGGAGATCATTCGTGTACTTTATCCTATTTTTTAAAAAATAAAAAATATTACTATTAAAAAACCCAAAATACACCCAAAAAATTAATTCTAAAATCAATTTTACCACCTACCACATCATTTCTAACCACCATCACCACCGGCAATCAACCACATTCCATGGGTTAATAGTTAAAATTTTGTGCAATTTACATGAAATTGATTTAAACCCAACTAATTGGATTATTCGGTTTGCAATTTACGTCAAAAAGCGGTGAGAGATGGAGCCAACGCACTGGCAGGGGGATTTAGGAATCATCGGACCACGCTTGCACCGTTCCTATGTCATTTGAATTGTGCAATTGATTATAGAAGCCCAATCAACCACTGAACCCCAACCTCGGCAACATCGGTGATGGTTTTAGGAATTGAAATGGAATTTAGGGATTTAATGTTTATGGATTTAAGAGCCACGACGATGTAATGGCCGACAGTGAAGTTTGACTATCAGTGGATAAACAGTCGGTGACAATGGTAGCGGTAAGAGTGACCGACGACAGAATTTATGCTTTGAGTTTATAAATTCTAGGATTTTTTTATATTTAGTAAAGTTTGGAGGTTATTTTTGAAAAACAATAATAATTATTAGTTTTCTTTAAATAAAAATTTCAATAAAATTATAAATGTGTCACATGCCATATTTTTAGTGATTGATAAACTTTTTTTAGCGATCGTGATGGATTAGACACTTAAAATAGTAACATTAGACACTTATATTAATAAAAAAAATTAGACACCTAAATAAAGAAAGATGTATAGTTTGGGGATTTTTTTATATTAAACCATCTTAAAAATAGAAAAGCTTTAATTATAAGGGTAAGTTATACCAATAACCACTTAATTATTGTCTCATTTTACTTTAATCGTCGATCTTTTAATTTTGTCAATCAGACCACCTGCCTATTTAATTGTTTTCAATCAACCCACTAACCGTAGTTAACGGAAATACTGATGTGATAGTTAAAAAACTGACATAATTATAAATTTAGCCTTTAATATTTATATATTCTATCAATTTGGTCCTAACTTACAAAATTATTTAAATAAATTAACCATGGAGCCATCCTCAACATATTTTTTATAGAATACACAATAATATATATTGATACCATAGTTAGTGTCACCCTCAAGATTTGAATTTAAGATTTGTATATTTTTTAAATTAAATTTAATATTTCTTTATTTCACCTTTGTAATTTAATGATTATATATATACTCAAATTTTATTTTTTTTCTAAAAATATATAGTAAATATAAATGATTCAATTTATAATTAAATGTACGAATCATTTATATTTTTTGTGCATTTTATTTATCTTGTATAAACTAGTATTTAAAATATATTTACATTTTAATAAAAATATTTAATTGTAAAACTAAAAATATATTTTTGTATTGAAATGTATAAATAAAAATATATTTATATATTTAAATGTATGAATCATTTATATTTTCTGTATATTTTATTTTTAATAAAAAAATAAAATTATTAGTGCACGAACCAAGTG